TTAAGTAATGTTACACTGTTTTGCCTTCATTGAATTTCTTAAAATATTATAGGATTCTTTTTGTGCATGTAATCATTATTAGAGTGTTGAGAATCACAACATAATAACATTAATGCATTTTATCGAACGAAGTTAAAAGAAAATTTTCCGACCCTCGTAAATTATAAACATTAGATTTTCTCACCACATAATAAATCACATGGATTATATATAAATACATCTTATTACATGTTTTGGATAATTTATTTTAATTTCTATTTAAAGTTTTAAAGGAAAGGGAAAATAGAAAATTGAGAAAAAAAATGATAATAGAAAAGAAAAAAAATGGGGAGAGAGGCACAAAGTGAAGTTGGTGGGCTCAATCCCACTCTCACCCTTTCTACACTCCATGGACTCTTGGAAAAAACCATCCTTTCATCCTTTTTCATGAATAGCAAAGAAAAGGATAAAAGTATCAAAAAAATTATAAATCTATTACATTGATACCAATTCAATCCTAAATATTTTTATATTTGTACCAATTTAGTACTAAACCTTTTCAAATTGATACCAATTCAGTCTGTCCGACCAATTTAGGCCGGAATTCGCTGACGTGAATACTGGCCATCCTACGTGGCACGGCTGATGTCAACGTAGACAATTTTTAATAATTTTTTCTTTTTTCTCTTTTTTTTTCCTTCCTTCTTTGTGGTAGGCTACTGGCCATAGGGGAGGGTCGCCCTCGCCGGTGAGGGCGAGGGCTAGACCCTTACGGCCTACCCTCGCCAGATCTGGCGAGGGCTGCCCTCCTCCAAGCCACGAGCCGCTAGGGCGACCCTCCCCTGTGGCCAGCAAGGGCCGTGACGGCCTCAACGACCCTCAGCCTGGCCACGGCCTAAGCAAGGAGAAGAAAGGAAAAAAAAGAGAGGTAAAATTCAAAAAAAAATATTAAAAATTGTCAACGTCAGCGTCGACCGTGCCACATAAGACGATCGGCATCCACGTCAGTGAATTCCGGCCTAAATTAGCCAGATGTATTGAATTGGTACCAATGTGAAAAGATTTAGAATCGAATTGGTCCAATTAAAAGGTTTATGACTGAATTGATACCAATATAATAGGTTTAAGACTTTTTTGGTACTTATTCCTTTAAAAAAGGGTAGAAGATAATTGTCGTATGGACATGGAGATCTCACCAGCAGGGTTATAAGATATTAAATAAGCACTAACATATTCATCCCACTAGTGATTATTAGGTCTAGCCATATAAATAAAATGGGTTTATTTCCACGTCAGTTTTGGCTAACGCACGTCCTTTTTACTCAATTGACCAAATTACACTTTGACCATAAATGAAGTCGAGCATGAATTAGTATTCGTAGTGACTTTTGCTTATTCAAATTTATAATGATTAATTGTCACTTTCCTATCTTAGCTTATTAAAAGTTTTTCCTTTTATATTCTTTGAATCTAGAGCAAAGGAAATTGTATTTATTCTATTAAGGGGGTGAGCATGGTCTGGCAGGCGGTTCTCACTTTAGAACCGGAAACCACCCACTTAAGACCGGATCGAAATAGTGGAATTGGGAACTGCCCATTAGTTCGATGGATCCATCCAAGAGCCGGACCGCTTATCCGGTCCGGTTCTAGGGTGGGTCCATGGAACTGGTCCTCATTCCCTAATCAATACCATGGTAAACTTAGTTTCTATGTGGACACTTCTTTACAAGGGAACATGTGTGTATATATATACCGATTTGTAGATAAGATTGGTGTAAACCGGTTTGTTCGGTCATTAATTGATCAAGGAAAAACAACCTTACCTATTGATTGCTATACCTTGAAAATCTTAATGCCATAATGCCTTTTAATTAGTATATGCAGATCAAATCAATTGCGAATTTCACACGGGTCCAAACAATGTATGCTCGCATAATGATTTCTTTTGTCCTTGAAACGAAGTCTAGATGGACTAAGAAATGAAACCCTACTCACTCGATAGACACATGAACAGTGAGTTAATTATTCAAATGATGAGTATTTGTGTATTTCAATTGACATTTGATGCTTTTATGATTTAATCGGTTCATAAATCTTAAAGGATGTACCAGAGAAGGTCTTTGTATTTCAATTGACACAAGTTCTTGCTGAATCTTCTAGGAAGTTACAGTTGAGAGTGGAATTACACACACACATATCTATTCAATTCGAGTGGGTAGTTCCACACCCGAAACCGGGAACGGCACCGCTACTCACCGGTTCCAGTAAATTGGATCCGGGAACCGAATCGGTCCCCATGGAAACTGCCGATTTGAGTTGGTTCGGGGGTTTCCGGTTCCTTTGTACACCCTTAATTCTATCCAAAGGAAGAAAAACCCATTGAAAGAGGGGCAACGAGAGACAAACTAAAAACGTTTTTGTTGCTTTAGAATCTTGAAAAACATAGAAACACCATTCCTGAATAAAAAAAAAATTCAAGACTCAGGGGAAATGACCCGTTCAAAGATGAATGATCACATCATGGAAAGCAAAGTGAAGACTTCTTTTCCTTCTTATTTCATCATTCTCGTTTGGCTTTCGGTTGCATTCATGTGCGGAAAAAGTAGAGCAACATAGAGGAAGTCCGAATTAGAGATGATGAAAAAAAGTAGAGCCAAATTGCGGGCCGGGGTCGACCTGCTATTGGGCTAATTGGGTTGGGCTGGGCTTTTATAACCCAAGAGTGCCCCTCGAGCCGATGTGGTTTGGGGCGGTTCGGGAGGGCCTAGGCCGCCAGGCCCATGATTATGTTTAGTTCGGATATAAGGAAGTGGGAGGTAATCCGATCCCAAGAGAGCCCAAATAAACGTGAAAATGGTTAGGAAAAATGATACAAATGGTTCATAAACTTTAACCTAATATGTAATATGGTCAATGAACTTTTAATTTATTCAACATAGTCCCTGAACTTTAGCCTAACGTGCAATATCGTCCCCAAATTTTCAATTTGTTAAATATGGATCCTTCGTTTGATACACGTTTAATTTAGTCCTTGGACTATACATAAAAATATCCAATATTTTCTCCGAACTTGAATTAATAAAATGATAATATCGAACATTTTCCATATAGTCTAGAGGCTAACTTAAATATGTAACCCACCCATGGGTAGCTTAGTTGGTTAGGGCGTACTTGAGATTGTGTGGTTAGGCGCACTGGTCCCAGGTTCGATTCCCCAGCTGAGCACTTGTGATTTAAGTGGGGGGCCATGGCGGTGGGTTGCTGTGTTAGTCTCCCCCGAGGAATAGTCGAGGTGCGCGCAAGCTGGCCCGGACATCTCGGTTACCAAAAAAAAAAAAAAAAACTTAAATATGTATCAAAAGTTCAAGGACCACATTGAATAAATGGAGAGTCTGGGGATGACATTGCACATTAGGCTAAAATTTAGGGACCACATTGAACAATTTAGAAATTCATGGACCATATTGCACATTGAATTAAATTTCAGAGACTGTTTGTGTCATTATTTCCAATGATGATTAGGAGTGGATTTTCCGCGACATGTTATACACACGCGAGAGAGATAACAAAATGTACGAGAGAGGACAATACTTCTTGATTTATTTGGTACTTATATGGTAATTTGGCCAATCAACTTTAAAATTGTGTGATTTTTGTTGAATGGGGTGTCGAAAAAGCCCTACCCACGTATTCACTTTTCAGCTGTTCATAATTCTATACACTTTTGAGTCCTAACAAGAATTAATTAGTATAATTTCATGTTCTAATTTTATCTATGGTGAAAGGGCTTCGCTTATCATGCTTCGAGTTTGATATGGAATCCGAAGAGTTTTGTTCAAATCGGATGTTGGTTTAGTTTTATGGAACGAAAATGATGCAACAATTACACAAACTGACATTTTCTCGATCGAGCTACATATTTAATTATCATGCACTTGAGGGTTATGTATTCGTTCAAGGGATTTTTTTTTTTATAAACCTGATGTAATTAATTTGAATATCTTAATTTTTTTTTTTGATAATTGAGGTGTCCGCGCGGCCGGTGAGCTAGGGTTCAAACCAGCGGTGATGCCTAACTAGTCCTCGAGGGGAGCTAGCGCAGCATCCCACCGCCACGACCCCCCACTTAAATTACCGATGGGCGAGTTTGAATCCAGGACCTCTCGTGAAAGGAACTGAGCGAAAACCAACGCGGCCACCGATGAGTGGGTTGAATATCTTAACTTTTACTCCGTCCTTTGTAATCAAATGCATGAATGCACCTCAAACAAAGTTTTTTTTTTATTATTTGTTTCTGACATTTTCACATCATTAATGAAATATGCAATCAACCTTTTATGCGTCAAAAATCGAGTTTCTAGCTTCCGTTTTGCGATTCGACGGTCTAAGTTCGATTTTATCCAACTAAACAAGAAAAATCGATGTCTGATTCTGATCGAATTTTATTGGAGTCAGGAAATTAATTTTACTCGAAATTGATACATTATGAAGAGATTATTAATTAGACTCTTTTGGGGTTTAATTAAACTTGAGTGATGACGATATGTGAACTGTAGAGGGAAGATTTGGGTAATGTTTCTTATTTTCATCTAGGGATAATTACACAAATAGTATGTAATCCTTAAGCTTTTAATTTGTGCAATGTGATCCATGAACTTTAACCGAATGTACAATGAATCCATGAACTTTCAATTTGTTCAATGCGGTCCTTGAACTTTTGATAAATGTTCATTCTAGTCCGTGAGTTATAATATCCCTAGATTCAATTTAGTCAAGGGGCTAAATTGAATATGTACCAAAAGTTTAGGGACCGCATTAAATAAATTAAAAGTTTATGGACCACGTTGGATATTTGAGCAAAATTCGGGAACTATTTATGTCATTTTTCATTTGGTATAGGACGTTTCAAAAGATGTGAGTTTTATTTAATTTTTTTTGGTCAATTGTTTTATTTAAATGAAAAAGCAGATTATACAGAAATACCTTGCTTCTGTCTTGTGTATATATATAAGTATAACCTTGGGAAAAGGATCAGGCAATCGGTGGTTCCTCGTTCGCTTGACTTGTTGACTTTAGGCATTCAACTCCTCCGTCGTCCTCCTCCTCGTCTTCCATGGCGTCCGCCGCGATCGGCCGGGCCTCCCTCCCCTTGCTGCTGTCGGCGATCGTCCTCCAGTGGGGCTTACTCCCTCTCTCCGTCGACGCGAGGCCCTGCAAGACCCTCCTCATCGCCTACTCCTTCTCCTTCACCGGGAACCCCGCCTCCCTCCGCCACCACCACCACCCCCACATAAGCCACCGCGACCACCCCTTCCCGGCCGTCGATTTCGCGAGGCCCGGCCTCTCTTCCTCCGATCCCGCCTCCTCCTCGTCGGCGGAGCTCATCACGATCTTCGACGCCTCCGATCGCCAGTTCGATCCCAGGCCGGCCTTCCTCATATTCGATCGCCGCGTCTTCCCTTCCCGAGAGCTGGACCTGCCGCGCCCGCAGCTTCCGCAGCGGCGGCAGCGGTCGGTGCCCCGGGGAATCTTCGATCTGAGCTCCCTGCGCGACCGCACGGTGGACATCCTCAGCGTCGTCGTCGCCTTGCTCTTCGGCGTGGGTTGCGGCGCCCTAACCGCGGCCACCATGTACCTGGTTTGGTCTCTCTTCGCCAGCCACCGCGGCGATGATTTCCAGGAGGAGTCCGATGATGATGAGGTTGCGAGCCCTAAGAAGATGGGTTATGTCAAGATTCCTGCTGCAGATGCCTTCCCAGCCCCAACCAAAGCCTAAAGCCTGTAGTCGCTGTTTGAACAGTTACCTATTATCGTTTGAATAAATCGTGTGGTGTACTCTGTCTTCAGTCTTGTTGTGTAAGTTCCGTGCGTCTATTCTGGATTATTGATGCTTTACTCGGAAAGACTATCACTTTGTTTTTAGATATCTGTCCCTAACTTGATCGCCCGATTTCGGGTCTTAGTGTAGCCAGCAATTAAGTTAAAGCATCGGTTGCGTTTTAGATCTCTTCTTGATGTGGCTTGTTTGTGTTTGATTACCCTTGTTTGATGCTGTTCATTTCTCATTATCTCATAGGGCTTTGTAAGAAATCAATTGGGTTGGTTTCTTTTCATGTTTACATTAGTTCCTCTGTGAATTGGATTTGATGATTTGCCCTCCTCTGTGGATCCTGCTCTATACTTGCGACGAGGGTCTTGAGAGTGGTCATCCTATTGACTCTAATGAAACCATGCTCTTGTTCATTGTTACTTGTTTTGTCCCAGTTTCAACTTACTTCCTGGTTTCTCATCCTTCACCTTCTTGGTGTGCTTGCCCCTCCAAATTTCTTTGGTCCTATTAAATAGTGTAGAAAGAAGAAGCTTACTCTCAATGATCAAGCTTCATTTCCTTAGTGCAGTGTTGGGACTCTTGGCTGCATAGTGGCACACTTTGTTCAGCTGAAAATCTTACCTGGATGGTGTTGGGTATGTTAGCCAAATGGTATCATTGTACATCTGAGAATCTGTTAGCTCAAGATGGCTAACTTGCTGATAGGGCTTTGTCTAATTGATGGGGGTTTTCTTTTGAATTTCACAAAAAATGTCGAGTGTTGGAGGATAATGAGGATCAACAGAAAACTTATTGCTTCATGGTGGCACTAGTGCAACCCAGATCTTGAGCTTTTAGTACCAGGATAGCTTCTAGGAACGGGAAAGAGAAAGAGGGTTTACGAAAATTATTAGGATATTGGACTTCGTCCAAGCTTAAGGAATAAGGTATTTAAATTGGAACTTGCAGATTACGATTTAGTCCTATCAGTGTTCTTTTGCCTTGTGCAACCACTCTGGGTACCAGTTACAGTTTCCAAGTTCTCACCAGAGTTGTACAACAGTTGTAACCAACGTTTTTCGCTCCTTTATGAGAAACGGTGTGTAGGTGGTACGTTATGGCAACGTTCGGTAGGTAATGTGTACCATCCTTGGGAAATCAATCCTGTGAGATTCAAAACTAGAGTTCCACAATTTCCACATGTAGCATAATAATTTCGATGTTTCACAGAAGTATGACTGTATGTCAACTGGGTAACCTCAGTTTGTCATTTATTCTCATGCCTTGTTGTGAGTTAAAGAGGGTGGAGAATCTATGAAAAATATCTCTAGCAGTGAATTTAGTGATGGTTGTGACCCAGGGATCATAGAGAAGCCATGTTTTAGTGGGACTTTCTTGAGTTAAATTTCGGTTGACAAATGGAAATTTGGGAAGTACTTGGTCTTTTGTGGAGCATGAGAAATGCTGGAGGGGACTTTCTATTCTAGAATATGTTATGCTACATCCTGGATGGATCTTCACCTGGCTTGTGGCTTGGTTTTCTTTGCTACTTCTGACAAAGTATTGACAATACGCCATGCTATCTATGCCCTTTTCTTAAATCTGAATGTGATGACCAGATCTCATCATCGGTCGTCATTAACCAGAAGGTACTTTAGAACTCGTTGAGAAGTTGTAGGGATTGGGGCCAGGAAAAAAGTATGGTCATTTTGAGTGATCCTATTTGTGAAATTGCTTCTCATGTGGAACGCAGTATCAGTCGAGTTTATGATCCTGAGAATATATTCAGATGGAATTTCTCTTAGGCTACCGCAATGAAGTATGAGTTTCGGTTTGCTCCCTAAAAACTTCTGGGGGGGTATGTCTACGTTGTGATCTTGCTCTCCATATTACCTTACTGCTGCTTATGGTTATATCTCCCATTTGAAATTGAATGCAAGTTTGCTCCTTGTAAATTTGATTATGCTTTTTTACGTGATAAGGTTTTTACTGATAAATAGTGCAGTGCCATAAAATTATCTCAACGAAACCATCGTTAATGCTTTCGGTTCCAAAAAATTAGGCGTTCATACTTAGTGTTTACTCTGTCTTAAACAAGCGGTGTGTAAAACTAGCAAATTCTGCCATATAGTTGCCTAACTTGTTGAATTAGAAGATTTCTTCTGCCTTTGTCATCGATGCCCGGTGCCTTATGTTCTTCCAACTAGTACGATCCAATGAAATGCTTGTTTCTTAACTCTACGTCCCCATAAATAGCGAAAAGCGTGCTACATTGCCGGATTAATTCTTTCCATTGTCAAGTAATTCCATCGGTTACACTTTCACCGAGCAGCAGTAAGGCAGAAACCTGTTTCAGCTCGAATCGAAGGTAACTTGTTTCATGAAGGCAATCCCAGCTCGAATCTGTGTTTTCTTGCTAGTGTTGGTGTTTTGGGGTGGGTCTGGTTTCTTATGATACCAATAGCTGGGAATAAGCCACTTGGCATTCTTTTGGGTGCCGTATGGAATGATGCATGACACATAAAAAGACTGTACCCTTCAGTTTAAATAGCCCAAATTGACTCCGATCACATTAGAAAAGAACTCAGATATAAAGGCTAGTTTTGTCGCAAGTATAACATTAGGGACCCTCCAATTCCCGGTCTTAAACTTCAAGGACTAACGATCCAATTCACCCGAAGAAATATTCAAATGGAGAGAGATCAGTATAAGTTGAATTTAAGCAACGGTGATATACATGGAGAGAGATCTCACCAATGTGCATACTATGAAAGAATATTGAATGGCAACAACTTACTGAATCCATCGTTTGGGCTCTACTTGTTGAATTTATGCTCCGGTGGTGCACATGTTAGAAGAAACAATTGTCGGCAACTCCCATGCCGCTCTCCTCCTCCAGGCGAATCGACTTCAAATGCATCTCGATCCCGCGTAACAATGACCCGACCTCTTCGATGAGCGCAAAGGACCGGTCTCCCGCGACGAACTCACAGACCTCACCGTTCACTTCGATCGAACTACATCCGGGTACCTTCTTAACCCTGTTCTCCTCCATCCCTTTCCTCACTTTCACGACATCGTCCCACTGGCTCGTCGAGGCGTACATATTCGAAAGCAACACGTGGACTCCGCTGTGGTCGAGCCTCCTCTGAATTATGCTCTCGACCATTTCTCTTCCCAACTCCACATCGTCATGAACTCTGCATCCGTTGAGCAATGCCCCGAGAACGTAAGAGTCGGGCTCCATCGGCATACCTCTCACTACCTGCTTCGCCTCTTCGAGCATCCCGGCTCTACCTAATAGATCCACCAAACACCCGTAATGCTGAACTCCCGGCTCGATCCCGTGTTTCTCGCTCATACTTCTGAATATTTTCGAACCGTGGTCGACCATGCCCATCCGACTGCAAGCGCTCAGCACGCATATGAAAGTAACTTCATTAGGCGCTACTCCTTCGGTCAGCATCCTCCCGAACAACTCGATCGCATCCTCGCTGCGACCATGATTCGCCAGGCATGAGATCAAGGAAGTAAAGGCGAACACATCTCTCTCCTCCATCTCCTTGAAAACACGACGGGCAGTCTCGACGCAGCCGCATTTCGAGTACATGTCGATGAGTGCGGTGCCCAATATCCTGTCTAGCTTCATCTTTGTCCTGTCCACGTACGCGTGTATCCACCTTCCTTGATCCAGAGCACCAAGAAAGGCACAGGCGGTTAGCGCGCCCACAACCCCTGCATGATTCGGACGAAGCCCGGAAAGAGTCTGCATGGCGTTGAAAAGCTCTAGAGCCTCCCTAAACAGGCCAGCCTGCACGTACCCGTTGATCATCGCGCTCCAAGAAACGGCATTCTTGTCCGGCATTTCGTCGAACAGATTGCGCGCGACATCGACCTGGTCAGACTTCACATACCCATTAATGATAGCGGTCCAGGTAATCACGTCTCGGTTCACACTCGCGTCAAAAATTCTGCGAGCTGATTCAAGAACATCGCAAGTGACGTACAGATGAATCAACCCATTCTGCACAAAGTCATAGGATTCCCACCCCAGCCTAATGGCCTGGCAGTGGTAACTAGAGCCCGAGCAAACATCGCCGAGCTGAGCGCAAGCAGTGAGCAAGAACGAGAACGTGTAGTTGTTGGGCAAGAAGCCGGACTCCGCCACCATTCTCCTGTACAGAGCCAGGGCAGGCGCGTGCTCCTTCACATCCACGAGAGCCTTGATCATGGTGTTGCAGACGTAGGCGGTTCGACACCGGCGAGGGAGATGTAGGAAGAATCTGTGGGCGTGCGAGAAGTCGCGGGCGGCGCAGAAGGCGACGATCCTGCCGGCGGCGTAAGGGTCGAGGAGGGTGCCGGAAACGGCGAGGTGGGACTGGACTTGCTTCATCTGGGTCATGGTGAGGCATTGTTCCAGGAGGAGGAGGAGGGATCTCTGGCTCGCTTTCATAAAAGGGGTCGTCGGTCTCCAGAGTCGTGGTCAGTGAGTGGTGATGGTCTCGCTCGCATCTTTAGCTGGATCGTCGAGGTTCCTGGAGGCGGTAGTGGTCAAGCTTTGAGAAGAGCGTTTCCATGGAATTGTGGCAAATGCACATGAGATCAAACCATTCACGCTCGAACTCAAGCTCCATCTCTAGCTTTGCAGTACAATGAAATTTGAGAGAGACAATCATGAATGTTTCATTGATATGCTAACGTAACTAAAATGCACATACTTTCTTCGTTGCTTTAGTAAGGCCACGAGCAATTCGACTGCGTTGAACATTTTCATATAATTCAGGAACCATTTCGAGCATTAAGCTAAAATTCAGGGACTATATTGAACAAATTAAAAAATTCAGGGACCATATTACGTACTGTTTGTGTCATTATCCCTTTGAATAAGCTTAAATCAAGTGATTTCGAGCATTCTGCTTTCCTCCCTTTTTTCGATCTTTATTTTCCTTTTGGTTTAGCCGAACTTGTGATGTATTCCGTTTGTATATAGTACCATACGTGTGTATACGAATTCGCTTTACAATACATGTTATATGGTCATGACAATATAGAGATTACAGGCGACTTCTCGGTCAAAATGGCAAAAATGAAAGATTTTTGGAATGTTAACGGGTTAATTCAAATCCAAGTGACTTTGCGTCTCAATAGTGATTTATGTGAAAAAAACTTTCTTTGGCCAGTATATCTAAAGATTTGTAGTGTAAAATTATACGAGTCAATGGTCAAAAGCACTCGCTCATTCTCCTTCCTTAACCCCCACAGATGTAAAAAAAAGCTTCATTCCGAATTCGACAGTTGCCGGCAACATACAAGCAGGGACGCGCCGCGAGCTTTCTGGTGTACACCACACCTGCGAAGAAGAAAAGGGGGTGAAAGAAGACAACCCTTTTCGTCCCCTGGAGATCTCCACGCATGGCGATCTTGGGAAGGAGGCGAGAGCGAGAGCTAGGCGTTGGATCGCATCGATTTCCAATAAGACTGACAAGGCATTCGTGGCGAAGACAGTTCCGCATCCTCATCATTTGCCTTGCCCTCGTCGCTATCCTCCCTCCCATCTTCTTCCACTTCCGGCTCAAGAACTTCCGCCAGGTCTCATCTCTGTCCTCACCTCGCATTACATGCCCACAAAGAGTTGAGCTTGCGTTCTGTTTCTTTGTTCTTCGTACGTGCGTATATTGTTCGCCAGGAATTGATTCCGGACCAAAGCCAGGAACTTTTGGCTTAATGCATCGACCCATGTTCTAATTTCTTCTGTACCGCGTTCCGGTGCTACAAGAAAGTAATTTTTCTGTCTAGGATGAAGCAAAAGATATACACTTGAGAAAATGTCTGCACTGGCGTTTCATCTCCGGTGATGATTTCAATGTTATGTACCCTTTTGGTCGGTCAATTCACTGTGCCTGCCTTGTGCCTTCTCTTTCTGTCTCCCATGTTCGCAAAAGCTTGGTTGTATTCATTCATGTTTGAGTCCTGGTTGGTGAAATCATTACTTGGCATAGCTTTCAGTGTTCTTTAAGTAGTTTAGTTGTGAGAATTAGAGAAAAACAACGTTCTTTTTTTTGCATATTGCACCGAAACTGACAAATCAAGACTTCCTGTCCAAATACTAAAACTTTGAGACTTTTTTGATATATTCTACTAGACTCTTCGTGACCATTGCTACTTTAGCAGTAAACACCTAATATCCAAAATGCACGACATCTAATATTCTGTGCGAGAAAAAAATCTAATGAACTCAATGCACCTTTCTCATTACTTTTGAGTGAGATCGCATAGAAAAAGAAGCCATCAGTGCACTTGCATAGGTATTTCACCTATTATTCATTAGCTTTCTATGCCTACTCAAGATTCCAAATACCTAGTATACCACAGCAATATACTCAAAGAAATACCCTCAGATATCAGTGTTTGCTTTTGTTCCTAGGTAAATTGTAGATTCGTCACTGAACTTTCGTTTCCATATCTTTTTAGTCCGTGTACTATTTTTATACTAAAATCACAACTAAGCTTCCAAATTCAGTGTTGCTTTCTTCAAGCTAGAGTTTGGTTCCAATTACAGATAAGAAGAGAGAAAGTTATCTTAAATGATTTGGACATTCTTTAGATGTTCTGGTGAGAAGTTGTTATGTTGTGACAGAGATGTTGGGAAAAGTGTGACATTATTCTGGCTCTTGTTTACCAACATATTTTTCTTGCTGGAACTTGTCTTGTTCATTTCTTATTTATTTTGGCATGTCTGATGAAATATGTGTCTTGTAAAGTGATTTCCTTACTAAAGATCTTGGAAGTTTAGCATTGCTTGTTATCCTGTCAACAGGTTCATGCTTTTATTCAATAGATTAAAGTCTATTCAGCTTTAGTTGTTGAGGACCAAAAGTGGTGCTACATTGATGAATGTGCTTCATATGTGATATTTTGAGGAAGAATCTTTTGGCAACACTTCCAAATGTCGAATAAGAGTGTGATGTTTGGAAGTTTGGGACGTTAGTTAACATCTATCGCTGTTCCGTCATGCATATATTTCTAACTCCAAGTAAGAGCTTCAAATACGGTTTCCTGGTTTTGGATGTTTCTGGCTGAGGGTTTCTCTTTCAATTACATGGGTTATTCTTGAAAATTAAGTGATAATGGCTAAGCAGATACAACAGCTGAGGAGTTGTGTGCACAAGTTAAACTGAAATAGACTTGTGCTGTTGTATCCTCAGAGGGGTATTCAGAGTTTTATTGCTGACTTGATACTGGTGTTGGTGTGATAAATGGTGTTTTTGACTATGAAAGAGTGATGAGGGTTCACTAATGTACCCTTGGCCTGAATTCAGTTACTCCAAACCCAAGCTTCCTGGACGTTGTATGGAAGCTGCCTTAATGTTGATGTGAGAGTTGCCACATATCAAATAACGGTCTTGTTAACAAGTGCCCCCGGAGCACTTGTTAGACATGCTTAATGAGAAAGTTGGATTTTAAAGCGTTGATTGTGTATATACAATGACAATCAGTGCATTGGAGATTGTGATATTTCCTCATTTGGTTACTTAACTAGTGCCTAATCCATCCAATAATTTGATTCATCCGGTTCTGGATTATGACATTTACTCTTCATCATCTGACTTCTGTTTGAGTTAGATTGTATGGGCAATGCAGTATGATTCATTTTGTAGAGGTCAAACTTCTTGGTCATGATTGTATTGAGGTCAACATAATCTGGCCTGCTCCCTGCATTAACGAATTTCCTAGCATCATGCAGGCACAGTTTAAGAAGTGCAGTTGGCTGAGCAGTCCACCTCTTGTGTGTGCTCATGGTGGTGACTTGTCGAAGGCATTTGCCAACACAGTGAGCATCCATCTCTTTTTAGATTGTTTAATGAAAATGTTTGTTGAGCCAGGGTGGGAAAATCCAATGTGTCAAGAGGTTTTATTCTAAATGGCGCAAGGCTCTAGTTAAGGCAAGTGACTCAAACAACAAAAGCTTGGTAAAGGAAAGGCATTTGCTTGCTGCAGACTATGGAGGAACCATGCCCTTTTCCTCTTCATTGGATATGGGACCATGATAAGAGAGAATAAGAAAATTATTTAGTTTGATGGATAAATCCAAATAAGGCCTCCTCAGCATCACTTTGTCAATGTTTGAAACTTTAAATTGATGAGTTAATTTTCTTTCTATTATTCTGCAGATGGCTGCATATCAAGATGCTCTTCGTTCCCAGGTAGACTGCATTGAGATTGATGTTTCTCGGTCTTCAGATGGTGTGTTGCTTGCTCTACATGACAGGTAAATTAGCTAATGTTGTTTCTTATGTAACATTTCACTGCTTCAACCCTCATTCTGCCACAAGCAATTGACATTTTCAATTAAATAATTCAATACTTGACTACTTTTATAACTTCTCTTTCAGATATCTCGTTATGTGATTGAGCTCTTCATTTGTGTTTTTCTCACAATGCTATCATTTCAAAGCCTTGAACTCTGACTTTTCTCTTTATTCTTCTTCAAATGAAAAGGTTCATCGGTTTTGCTCATGATGCCCCATTTTGCACTTTTCTGGGTTAAACATAATTTAATTTGAATGGAAATTGGTTTTTGACATAGATGAAATGCATGATTAGGGATTTTATATAGACTGTGGTGACATGCTAGGTACCATTGGTGATTTTAGCAGAATTGGATGCAGTAGTTTCCTGGAAATAGATTTTTTCAAATAATATGCATATATTGTCTTTGAAGGAGGATATGTGAGCTTCGGTCCCAAAATCCACTCTTCTACTACTACCACATGCCCTGAGTGTTGTGTTCATTTCTTAAATGTGTATTACCAGGGACAGATCTAGAGATTTGTTGTTTGGGGGGGGGGGGGGGGGGGTGTGAGAGAAAAGGAATCTCAAATGAAAGACTAATAGTAGAAGGTTAATATGTGTTTTTATGTTTAATACCTCAAGAAAATACTTGCTGTACTTTTTCATCAACAAATTTTCTGTATGTATGTATGCTAAACGCCTTAAATATATCAGAATTCATGCTTTAAGTGAAAACAGCAAACGTTATTTATTGCTACATCATTGAGATGATGTCGACCATACATGTTTTGTTGATCTAGTCATTTCCAGCTTACCTGAATAAATGCACAAGCTTTTCTACCATCAGGACAAAATGCTACCTGCTTTGAGAAATTGTGTTAAGTTTGCGGGAGGAAAGCGAGACTTTGTACTGGTTGAAATAAATGAATAAGTTCAATTATATGATTGATCTCGTAATATTTTTGCAATTTGGGTATCCTAGGCTGGCAATCTACGTTGAACGAAGCAAGAGAGAATCCTGATTTTTAAGTTTCAATGGCAGGGATCTGCAACGGATATCTGGTGATGGCACTTCCAGAGTCGGTCACTTGAGCATTAAAGAGGTCAGTATGGTCGAGTCAGTAATGGTTGCTTTTAGCATGCAAAGATACTTAAATTAAACATTTAAAATACAAATATGGATTGCATACACAATGTCCAAAGTATTCTGTGAGAAAATTCCACTACATTCTTAATCTAAGTAAATTTGTCAAGGTAAACAAGATGTTAGACCTCCTAATCTTTTCACATCATAACGAGTCTGTTCTGTTTTAACAGGGAAGATTGTTCCCTTGTCCAACATACTTTTCTATAGAGGGGTTCAATCTCAGTTCATCAATTTTTTATCAAAGAATTTTTTTTTTAAATATCTACATGGTTCAAACAGCATATCGTCACCTCAACATCCATAAAACAACAATAGCAGCAGCAATAGCATCAAGAAGAACAAATTCCTCAGTATCAAAGACATTTGAGTTTGGGTTTGGGGGGGGAGGGGGGGGTTATGATTTCATTTCAGCTGAAAATACTTATCTTATTTACAAATGTGCATGGCCTAACAAAGTTCCAATAGGATGATATTGCATTCGCTGTGGCAATCAGATGCAGCCATCTAATTTATATTCCTTTAAGATGTCTAATTATGGATAAAAATTCTCAACAGGGAGTTTATTTTGGGAGGATTTCACACTTTATACGTCTGCTACGTCCAAAAAATTGGCCTTTTAGCTCCTGAAAGAGTCTTTTACAGTGGAAGGCTTCTACTTAAATTCTGATTGAGATTCTCTTCTAGCTTGTTGTTGCAGATTAAAGAACTTGAGAGTACCCGTCAGTCTTCATTGAAGTTTGCTGATAGCAAAGTTCTCACTGCTGCGGAAGCTTTGAAGGTATCTTACCTATATGTGGACCTCTGAATCTGATTTTGATGCGTTATCATTTTCTTCAGTTTCTTTTTGCTATATTCTCCCTTTTGATGGGTTTTCCCTGTACTCCTGATGATTAAATAGTCAGTATCAAGATCAGTTCGGCAGGTGATTCTCGACGCCAAAGTCAGTCCTCCATCATATGAGAGTGGACTAGCAAAGGATATCCTTTCTGCTGTGAGTGTCTCTCTCTCTCTGAAAATAGATAGATTGATCATATTGGTTGTTTTGTTGGTGGAGATTGTTTCCAGAAAAATTCATGAAAAACTTTTCTCTTGATCACTAAAACTAGAACAGATCTGTGTGATCAAGCAACAATATTCCAAAACTGTAAATAGCTTTACGCAAGCAAATACCCCAAATCTGTGTGATCACAAATGTCATTTTTGTGAGATTCTGTATACTGGGTCTATGATAAGACCAAGGATATTAGCAGAATCTGGATACATAAAGAGCGCTTCTTATGAGGCTCAAATTTGTTGCTTTGAGCAGACCACGTTCATCAGATGAGTGACCTCTAAGGTCTCCTGACACATGACGGTAAAGGCCTGTACCAGATAATGTAGGAGCTTACTCTTCCACTTTAATAAGGCAGGCAGTTGACGCTTTCAAAATTCTCCATTTCTTTAGCAGAAGATGGGGAAAATTATGTTGCAACGTGTTGCATTCGGTTATATTACTATACACCCTCTATTTAGAAATTACACTCTTTTCCTATCATAAGGGTTTCACACTATATTTTTGTACTTATTGGGCTTGGACTTTGTCCACATGCATGCAAAGTAGTAGTTCACGTGTCCTTCATACAAGAAATATAAAAAAATTCAATACATCGTCAAGTTTAATGGTCGGAAATATCGTTCTAGAAACGTGATGATTGTTTAATTTTCATACAACAGGGGTCCATTTTAATTTCTTTTGAAGTATCTCATTGGAAACTCCAGGATAAGTAACCTCATGAAAGAAGAAGAATCAGAGTTTAGGAATTTCATCATGAAGGGAGGAAGATGATAAATTCTGATAACGCTCTAAATCTGGTTGAGAAGCAATTGTGAAAGCCATTGAAGACTTCGATTAATCATGTCAATAATGGAACAACATGTGAGCTATATTAGCTTCTGTGTTAGGTCACGCCCACTTAGCTTCTGGTTATTCTTGGTATTATTTGGTTATTAAAGCTAGTTGAACTTCTAGGCAAGCTGAACAAATATATTCTTCAGTGTGCCAATGCCTTCAGCTACTAAATTCCAAACGCAACCTCAAATTTAGGTGTAAAAACCACATCTCAACCATAAGTAATAGATATTGTAAGCTAGATTAGAGAGAGTAAAGATTTGTGTTGACTACCATTATAGAACTTTCTTGCTGTGCCACTTAGCTGCACTTTGCATGTTCCTCTCGCAAGCATATTAATCTACATGGAAAGTTTTTGAAGTCACTAAAACCTGAATTAGGAATATCTTCAGGTACTCAATTGCAAGCTCCTTTCTTAACCTGTCTGTCATTTCTTCCCAGTAATGACACATTAAGGTGATCTGCAGTGAGTAAAATATCTGATTCTCCTCGTTCATGTGTAGTTTTGGTACAACTTCTATGGAATTTCTGGCTTCCCAATGAGTTTGAATGATCTTTCACCTTGTGGAATTGCTAACAAATGCATGTGGAATTTACCATGAAGACTTGATATAAGTTTGTGACTGACGATCAAGAGATTGACTGTAAAATAATTGTTTGAACATATGACCTCCAGGAGTAATGAATCACACACCTTTTGAGTTTCAGGTCGAGATGACGGAATGCAACAATTGCCTCGTGTGGGCTAAAAATGATGATCTAGTCAGAGAAGTAATTAAATTGTCGTCAAATTTGACGGTAAGAACTTCTCACTTCTCTCTTTTCTTCAGGTTTCAGGATAGTCTTGTGGCATTGGAAAGTTTTGCAATAAGATTTTTAGAGATGTTTTTTCTTATAGCTGTCGGAGACAATCTTTCGAGATGATGTATATCCTAATTTTCTAAATCGTCTTTGTTTTATCGTTTTGTAAATATGGTAAAATGTTGAGCAAGTGGAGTCGGTTAGAATTTTACTAATCCTAGTGACTTTCCCATGGTGTCAACTTTTTGGGCTAAATCTCCTTGATGACTAGACTTGTGCTGAGTTCGGTTTTGGCTGAAAAAAGGAAATATAAATCCAGCAAAGTATACTGTCTACATCTGTGGGTAGTTTTAACCCCTGCCATCATTGCACGTGGGAAGGGTACCTGATAATATTTGCTCTATCTAAATGCATAGGACTTATTGAGCTTGATTAAATGGTTGGAACAGTAAAAATTTGTTCCACTGCTATAAGGGGCTGTTTCACCATTATGCTAGAGTGGTAAATATTCTTTTCATTTGTGCTTTTGGTAGTCAATAGGCTACTTGATTACTTTATAGGTAGGCTACATTGTCATGAAAGATCCATCCACTGGACTAAGAAGTAATCTCTTGAGGGTGAAAGGAGCTGGAGTAGTTGGTGTTTCCCATCCTTTGATTGATGACAGGCTTATGAGAACTCTTCATAGGTAATTTACTTTCAAAAACCTACAATTGATTTTTCTCTGTTTCTTTGGGTCCTGTGGGAGGGGACTTCTCAAATTGCTTCTGAGCCTCCTGAAATATGGAGGATGGTTCACTCACCACCCTTGACTGTAGAATGTCGTAGTTATGCTACTTTCAAATGTTTTTATGTAATCATTAAGTCTGCATGTTCTAGGAGATTCAACAGGTCCTTGTTGAAACTTGCTCCCAAAATTTCTCTTTTCTGCAAAATTGTTTCTTCTAACTATTCATTTAATAGAAAAATGAGGTAATCTCTCGTGATTTGCTGGTGCAATGGCTTTGACAGCTTAATTGTCTAAGGTAAAAATTGTAAATCCTGAATTTTTGGTTTTTTCTATAGTGCAAAGAAGAAGGTATATGCATGGACTGTCGATGATTTGGATTCCATGCAGAAGATGTTGTATGAGCATGTCGATGCTATTGTTACTAGTAAACCCACTGTACTTCAACATTTGATGCAAAATATCGGAACACAATGTCTTGAAGAAGGTTATTCTTTCTAAATGGTTGTAGTAGCTCGAAGCTGCATGACATTTATGACAAAGAGCCATTCCTGTACTTGGTGATCAAGCATAGCTGGTATAATACGTAATATATATTGCAAGTTAAACTCTTTTAGACACTTTGAAGGGGGGGAACTGGTGCAATTGGATGTGAAAAGAAGCTTTGCACTATTAATTTTGTATAGTTAACTTCTACATGCCAGAGATATGTGTTCTTATTGAAGATTGTTAATATTCTTTTTGCTGTGTTCTTTTGCTATATATACAATGGTTCTCTTGTGAACGAGTGTATAGAGTAGATCCTATTCAAGTATGGTTGTCTTGTGCCTAACTTCCATAGATACCCTAACTCTGTGTGCCTTTGGCATTTGTTCACAATTGGAATCATTGGAAAATACTTGAAACTGCTGAATACTCTGAGAAGTAGGATCGGTTTCCTTCCGTTTTCCAGGAGAGAATTCATCTGAGCGAATGAAAAGTAGCATCAGATAAATGGTATGCATGACGGCAAATTCTGTCCATTCAAAAGCTGGGTGACTTGTTTATGCTGGCATTTCCCAGTCTAAATCAGAGTAGAAACTTATGGCATGAAATTTAAATAAGGCTATGCCCTACCATTCTCGGAGTGAGAGCGATTGCAATGAACTAAGGCTCAAAAGAGTGAATCAATGGCTTATTTCTCGTAACATTTGGGAGGGGAAATCAAATCGACATCAAATTCGTCCATGACCTCTCATTCTATGTGAGACTTTCTACTTCTGTGAATAGATATTTCAAAGCTGTAATTCACATTGCTGTTAGAATAGTTTTTGGAACATTGTGTGCATCATCCTCCCACCTGGTAAGTAGAAATTTTGCACTGTGTAATCTGTCTGAATTGATTCAGATTAAAACGTCAATGGGTTTGGCTATAACTCGCAGTGCAAATGCGTTTGCAGTACATTTAAAGACAAATATTGATCTCATTAATCTCAAGATGAATCCGTAGTATCTTCATCTTCAAATACTACCCATACATTGCTTATTTTTGTCTCCATCGTCCAGGAAACAAAAGTAGCAGATGAATAAGACAGACCCTTTTTTAACCTAGCATCCTCCCTTTCTTTCCACTCCATCTTCACCCTCACATCGTCGAATTTATCCAAACCCGAATGCAGAAGTCGTTTGGAAATCGACGTACTCTTTAGAGAATTGCAAACTCCAGAGGGGATATTGCTTAAGCATTCCTCCAATGCCTTGACATGGTCCAGGGTCATGACTTTGACCGAAGGGTACTCCAAGTTCCTGATTCTTATCGTCCGTCTGCATTTTCCGTACAATTCTTGAAGTTGTACACTCTGCTGAGATGCCTTTTTGAGTATGTCACAAGCTATGACTCTTGCTGGTGGGGTCAAGTCGAAGAACATGTTCATGAGAGCCGCCACGCCTTCACAGAACGCCGTATAAACTTGAAAGCTCTCTTTCAAAGTGTTGCATATAGCTGCTTGAGCCAGCCTATCTGAGGGCAAATCATCATAAGGTGAACATTCCAGGACCTTGTCGATAAATAATTGACACTTTGGTAATCTGTGAAATACCAATTCTAATGATCTTTCTCTGTAACACCCGAAATCCAAACCTGGAGCCTTAAACGGTTCGAGCTTCCCACCGGGGTTTATGATCCACCCCATTCTTTCATTGAGATAAGCCGCATACTTGTGAAGAAAGCAAACCAGGGGATCGGAGCTTCTCGAGAACCACCAGCCAGGACTCATCTGGAGATGGCCCGAAAAGTGCGCGCTACGCAGCTGACGCTCGAAGCCATGGTTGCCTCCACGAAGGAGACGGTGGGTCAACATGAGTGCCTTGAGCGCTACATGGCGGTCTCTCGTCCTATTGAGGCGTCGAGAAATCCGTTCGGCAAGAAACAAGATTGAATCCGGCGAGTTCGATACAAGAAAGAGGATCTCGTGCATGTGCTTGTCATCTACTGGACTATTATCATGACCAGTTGCACGAATTATAGCAATTTCAATCTCGGACAACCCACTTTTCTTGTTTAATATGGCTTTGCCAACTGAAGCATGGTCTTTGACAAAACCGATAGCAAGCCTCAGCTTGGCATGCGCATCGGCTCCCATTCTTCCTTCTCCTCTTGTTCCTTTGCAGCTTGGAGATGGAAGGAGGAAAGTGTGTGCAAAATAACTGAGCAAGAAGTTCGCAAATATAATGATGGGAGAGTGGAGACGGCGATTTAATATTCAGGAAGCCACGGAATCAAATCTGCATTAACGTGCAGTGTAATCCTTGAAAAGTATAAGACATATAAAGAGGCACCCGGATTTAGAAGAATTTAAATGAAAAGCCAGAAGAATATGTTAAAAGTCTACTAAAGAAGGAATAGGAAAAGGGAATGCTTTAGAAGGACATCACAGACGAGGGGTTTTGGATATGAATGCATAGTGTTCCACTGTAAAGAGTCAACGGAACCAAAGCGTTGTCATAGTGTTGGAGAGAACCTCATTCTCAAGGAATAGGATTCTTCTGCATCAATCTCTCTTCCAATTCGCAGCATCACAGTTTATGTTGTCTTTGACTTCGAAAAAGCTCCCTCCTCCAGATTCATCAGCGTCTTATCATCACAATCTTTGTCAATGTTTGTAATCTAGCATGTATGAATAAAGCTCAAGATAGGTGGCCAAACACTTGCACTTGATTAGATTCTACCTCTCTCCAACTTGCATTATTCCTTGTGCCAATCAAATCCCTGCTTCATATGCTTCCTCTAAAAAGAGAAAGTCAGAGATGATATGAAAGTCTACACTCGCATACCCAAATACAAAGAGACGGAAGGAATTAATGGGGGCCTCAAAACCTTTTCTGGGCAAAAAACCCTAAAGAAGGATCCGAAGTTAAATGGATTAGGTCGATGAAACTGAAAGGAAGACGAATTCTATGCATGTAACAGTTTTGCAAGTACTGGATGCTTGTTCAAGTAAAATTCTATTTGTAGTTTTGTTGAAGTTAATCCACCGTGCAATCAACGAGCACGAGTATACATAACCTCTGATATCCAGGCACCTACAGGAATAAATGAAACCTTAAAGACCTGGCCCGATAACAGCCTTGAGAAAAGGTGATTGGCTAACTGAACCATCATAATCATGCTTTTTGTAAAGAAAGTCTCATGCAGCACGAAATCATTCCATATGATGTGCAGTGAAAAAGTACATTATTGTAGCAATCACCAAGGCCAAGACCTCATTCAATAGCTTCTTGTGGTACTTCAAACAGTTCCAACCCCACGGATTTGAAGAAAAAGAAAATGCATCAATGCTATGATTTTGCTTTCTCACAAAACAGATAATTTATGCTTCAACAAACAGGCAACCCTCACTCCCTAGTGCTCAAGAACAGCTCAAAGTCATTTCTAGCTGCTGCAGGTGTAGCTCTCATGCTAAGTCTATTATCTAGAAGAGTTCATTTCTGCAATAGTAACTCATTTAGAAAATGATCCTAACCAGGAGTTTTCCACATTTGCTGTCAAGGGACGTATTGAGTAAAAGATTCATCAAACATACGGTTTGATCATGGAACACGCCAAGTTGGACTAATACCATGGAAAATTTCGATTGGCATTCATGCTATGGTGTTTAGGTTGCATTTCCATCAATCAAATATAGAAGCATTCATAGTACAAGGGTGCCAGTCCAGGGGCTAAACCTCCCCTGAAGTAGACAGAAAAAGCTAGTCTTAAGAAGTGAAGGTAGAATCTCAAGTAAATATCTCAGTGAGAGTGTGCTGTCCAAAGTAACTGCAATACCTCTAGTAATAACATATTGCAAACTGACTATCAATCTCTCTGATGTTATTCTAATAAATATTTACAAATACACAAAAGTCTTTTTTATGCTCGATATCAGCAGGTCAGGACATCCGGCGAAAAATTGTCCTTGTTCACCTAGCAGAAACTTGTAACCAAGAGCACAAACTGATTTGGCAAGTTGAAAAGATGCGAAAACCAACTCTTGGTCAGCCTCAGACTCAAGCTGGTCAGTAAACTTTAAATGAATGTCAGCAGGTAAAAACCAAGACCTGAAAAATATTTGCTTGGATCCTGCATCAGTAGTATAAGAGCTATGTCAGGCTGTTTCAGAGGAGCAAAGAGCAAGCAATAAAAATAATTACCGATGAAAAGGATCCTTCATGGTATTTATGATACATAAAGGTGTCCAATGCATGTGGGATAGTCAGCTTAGCTTGCTAAATTGTACAAGTAATGCTGTCCATGCTGAAGGCTTCTACATGAGACGAGAAAGGCGCTTATCACCACAACCATTCAGAATATCTGGTATGGATAAGCTTTTAAATGTCTCACTTGAGAGGCTTCAATCCCTGCAGAGAACCCAGAGAAGGCTGAATAAAATAACTTGCTAAAGACAGATGAAAAGATATGGAAATAAATGCCGTGTTCCCCATTTTTTAGAATCAAATGTAATTACCTTAGAAAATATAGTTTGAACGATTAAGCTTGTTACTATCTATAATCAGAAATTGGCATAACTTTGTGCTGATGTTCACTACTTCTGCCTAGTGACATCTTGGTAAGGTATAGACAGGATAAACAATTCATTATCCTAAAAAAGAACAAGAAATGAAAGGCGACAACATTGCCATAAAGAACACTAACCTGAAAAAACGGAAAAAAAAAACTTGTCAAGCACCCGGAAGATACTGAAATGATTAAGATAAATGGGGGAAAGGATACTACAAGTGCCATAACTTTTGTACGACATTCACTTTGGTACCAAAACTTTTTCCCGGGTCACTTAAGTGCCACTCTAAAAAAAAAAAGCAACCACTTAAGTGCCAACTCCTATTTGGGACGCCGGAAATCTGATATGACAATCTTTTATCATTTTTTTGGATCGACGTGTCTCGCCAGCAACCTGACTCAACATCTGTGCCCTATGTGAAGTTGTTTAGCGTGGTTTGCCCTAATTTAAAACCCCAATTCAGCCAAATCGACCAAATCCCCTCTTCTTCAACCCTAATTCAAAACTTGGCAAATTGGGCCAAAATTTTGACCTGAATCTTGCAATGGAGAGTAGGAGCATAACAAGCGGCTCAATTTCGTGTTTCAAGAGTTAATGAGTGAAGGCTCGGATGAGAATGGCGAGCTCTTGAAGAGTGCAAACAATAGCTTCAAAAACAGGGCCTCTTGGTTCCTCTTCTCCGGCACTAACTCTAGGCGAAACTGGAGCTTCGACAACCGTCATTGGAACACGAGGTAAATGTCTGGGGGCTCTAGGAAGGAACAAACTAAGGCTTGAACGAGAAGAGTGAGTTCTTGAGCGATGGAGACAGTGAGGCGACAAATAGAGCCTCTTGGTCATAGCTGTCCATGGACAACAACAAAGGTTTCTAACTATCTTGGAGGCCCACCGAAGGTAGCGTCGGTGCTGAAAGAGGGCTAAGTGGTAAGAACGGGTGTCACGGCTGTGATGCACAAAAGGAGATCAAGCCGAGCGAGGGACATCTGGAGGAGACGAAGATGGTGGCAACAGGGAGGATGGATGGATCAATTGGAAGGACGTCATTTGGTTAGAAAGAAGAGAGAGTGGCCGGAATTTTCAAGTTGGCCTTTTTTTTTCATCAAAAAGCCACGTAATTGTATATAATTAATTAAAAAAAGCCACGTTGGAATAAACATCTAATTAATAAAGCCACATAGGACTTTTGGCAGGAATTTGTTACCAGAGGCACTTAAGTGATCGTTTTTTCTCCGATTTGGCACTTAAGTGATCTGGTGAAAAGCTTTGGCACTAAAGTGAGCGCCGTACGAAAGTTATGACACTTCTAATGTCCTTTTCCCAAGATAAATGAGTAGCTTAGACCAGTTTCTCATATTCAGATCAGAGAAGTGCAAAAGCAACATCAGTAAGAAAAGGCATACGCTTTGAAAACCCAAACTGTCATTTGTCTTAAAGAGAATATAGCCTGTTATTGAAATTGCTTCTCGGTAACGACACTTTCCAGTAACAAAAGTAGCTTCTTCAGCATTTTCACATCAAGCCTCATTAGGTCAACACTGCTCTCTAAAGCAGGTTCTCAAGGGAAAATAAATGTATACCTTTCCAACCAAAATTAAAACGAAGTAAGCCTAAGATGAGCATTGTTTTAAGTATCAAATTATCAGAACGCATTAGTATCACTGCAACAGTTCTCTAAGATGCATTATGGATGGATGTATGATCAATACATGATTTTCATCAGTTGAAACATCATTTACCGAGGCAGTTGGACGATGATTTTAAACATAATACACGCCCAGTTTCTCCAAGTTAAAACCCAAGTACTCTCATAGTTCATTAAAAACTCACCTTAGATGCCCTTAACTCATTCACTGCCAGCCTAAGAGAATCATCTGACAGAATCAATCGTGATAATGCTCCTGTGCTTAGACTGCAATAGGAAATAAATATTACTTAAAAAGTGAGGCAGCATCACAGATTTGCTACTCTCAAGATCACTGCAAATTCGATTAATGCATGCGCGCTCTTGTAATACAAATAATTAATAATTTGGCAAATAATAACCTCATTTGGCAACAAACACTTGTTTTGAATTTTAATATTATTCAACGGAGAATTATACCCTAGTAACTTTGCTGCTTCAGAAACAGAACCTTCAAGGGCAGATAGTAGATCCAGCAAGGCTTGCACTCCCTGTGAAAATGATAGGTAGCATTCAAAATGACAACTGCATTCTCATTATTTGACTAAAATGATAAGTACTGCCATGGCAGAATTGGTTCAACCTACAAACAGATGACTATAGTGATGACATGAAATCTGCCACCATCATTAATTTAGTCTTAAAACCTCTTGTAAAAGTTCTTCCAGATTTCGATATCACGAATGCTCAATATGACAAAGAAAATTCTTTATCCATGGTGATATCGATGAACATAGCTCCTCTTCACAGTTCAAACTCCATATTTTTATTCTTAGATGTAGCCTTGGCAGTAGCCATACCATCAATGGACCATAGCGGTTACATAACTTTAATTGACAACACATCTTTCCTAAGCTCCTTGCTCAGTAACTTTCTCCTAGAGAAAAGGATTTTGGTGTGAAAGTATAAGTTTGTTGCAGAACAGCGGCTTTCAAGTACCTTATCATAACAATAATAATTTTTATAAAGGACCCTTCTACATCTAAGACAAATCTAAGGTTACTCATCTGCATACCAGCATAAACCTTGGATTGTTGGGCCCAATTTGGGGTCCGCAATCAGATCCTCTAACAGTTGACTTCAGTGGAAGTATTTGAAGGAGCTCTTTGGGAGGTGAGTATGCCTCAAGATTAACAGCATTCCTCACTAGATCAAAAGAATGCCATGTTATCTCTCAATGAAGACCAAAATAACACGTATAAGATAAGCATCCAATACAACGAAAATGAGGACACTAGAGATTATAGTTGCAATACCATTGTCAAAAAAGGCATAAATCACTACAGAGACAGGCATAATAACTGCAGACTGTGTTTCATAATAATCATGTAGTTACAATGTACTTTAGGATGATGATCACTCAACTAGGGGGCCAGATATTTCTATATCTAAGGACTCGTACGCTGCTAATGACTAACCTGGCAAGATCTTTGAATCTCTTGGATGTCTGCAGCTATGCAGAGCTCCAACTCTAACTATAACCAGGGACTTCATAGATTATTGCAAAAAGGATTTTCAACCTCAAATGTTCATCAAAAGAAATTTGCAAGTGCACTCTCTTCACAATACAGCAGAAGCAGCAGCAGCAGCAGCTGCGTCTTATTCCAGTAATTGGGGTCGATTACATAAGTCCTCTAATACAATGTACTATGAACAAAAACAAAGGGAGAGAGCGAAAAAGGGGCCACCTTTAAGAGCCAAGAGAGTACGCAGGCGGAGCACAGCTGACGCTCGATTCTTGTGCTGCGATCGGTCCTCAACAGCCTGCGAAAACACACTCCACATAGTATCCAAAACAATGTACCAAGGGAAAAAAACACCTGTATCTTCACATCTATAAGATAATTACTCCTACTCATCCATCAGTCAATCATCCAAACCAAAAAGACAGCATAAAAATCAGCAACTCATGCCAATTCAAGACGACAACAACAAATGAAATCGAACCGAGCTCGCTCACTTGCGCAATGATACCGGTGGGGACGTGCTTGAGGCGGACCGCCGACTCGCGCTTGTTGCGGTGCTGGCCGCCGGGGCCCGACGCCTTGAACGTGCCCATCTCGCACTGCTTCATCAGCTCCTCGTCGGTCAGCCCCAAGTAACCACCGCCATCGTAACTCGAGGGAGCAGGACCCCCGTTGCTGTAGAAGCAAGACCCCAGGGCCTTGTTGTGCTCGGGATTGCCGGAGCAGAAGCCGCCGCCCCGGTGGCATCTTCGCTCTCCGGCTCGCCATTTCAGGGTTGCGCTCGACGCGACGATCGGGCGAGGTCCGGCGGAGACTGCGAGTTCGGAGAATCTCGGGAACGAAGAGAGGGAAGGCGGATTCCCGAGATACGCAGCTCTGCGGAGCAGGGATTTCCGCAGCGATTGAATCGCCATTGACATCTTCATCTTCTTCCGCAGAGCGGCTTATGGGCGAAACTCCGGGAGGTTAGGAAGTAAAGGGAAGGCCGGAGCTGGAAGATATCGTCCAGGGGCTCGATTGAAAAGAGAAGTGAAATTTGCAGGGCGATGTTGAACAATTGACGAAACTTCAGGACCATATTGTCATTTATGCCTTCCTCTGATACGTCGTCGTTTTGATTGGGCGAAAACACACTCTCTCTCTCTGTAACCACCATCTTGTTGCTTCCGCAGTTACTCCTAACCAGGTTTATTTCCCAACCGTCGAAAATGTGGGATGTGTTCTTTCCGTAGGGGACGATGGGTCATTTTCCAATTCTTCTCTTGAGCAGGGAAAGTTATCGGGCGCTCTTGATTTATACGAGTCCATTTCACATGAGCCGTTAGATCGTGTGAGACCCACGTGAGACTCACATGATTTAATGGTGCATGTGAGGCTAACGTAAATCGGAAGTACCTAAAATTAGCTTCGAAAGCGTGATAATATGAGTACTTGAAAAAACATCAACAACGATCTCCAATGCAGACAATAATATATCATTTTATATGCGGTACATTGCAGTCATAGATGATACAGCATGACATACTGTCACCCTCTTCGAGCACACTGCAGAGAAAACTAAATACTGCATGATATACAGAAGAGAGAATTTTACTGAAGTATTTGACAGTACATGCTGTGGGAATTTTACACAAGTATTTGACCAGACGTGTTGTTTGTCAGGTCACATAGCTACATATCTTTGCTTTTCGTTTTCCGTTGTGACTGGTATGTAATATTCACTGAGCTATTTCAAAGTTTCAGAGGATGACAGAACCTCAATGGCACTTGGATTACTTCATCCGCAAGCTTTCCAGAGCCCTCGAGATGTCCTTCTCTTCAGAACCATCCTCTACAACCCTGATCCTGGGGCTATTGAGAGCGACGACATCGACCCTCTTGAAGTTCTCTTCGCTGCGTAGCAGTTTCTCGCTGCCGCATTCCACGGTGCCATTCAGTACGATAGTGTTGTGGAGGCCGCCTAACAGCTGCTCGTAGTCTGTGTCTCCTTTATCACCCACAAATACGACCGAGTCCGCAAAATCGATTCCCCACCTGATTGAAAGGTACCTGCTTGGCCAAATCAAGAAGACATGACAAAGAAAAAGCCATAAGTTTTATCATTCAAATCTCCAAACTCACATTCCAATTGAACTTGGCAAGAGTAAAAAAAAAAAATTGTTGTTGTGCATGTATAATGCAGGCTATGTGTACTAGGTGTAGTAGTTGTTTGATTAGCATCTTCGACCAACCTTAGTGCTTGTATTCTTGATGCAAACAGAGGCATCACGCTCAACCTTGATCCTGAACATGAATAGACGATGTTGCAACGAAAACCTCGCATTCTGAGCCCTTGCCTAAGGTCATCAATCCTTCGAACCTAATATTGACAGTATAACATCAAGAGAATGTCAGTCCCAAGCGTCTTGATTTTCTTAAGACCTAAACATCTTACCTTTCCTCCTGGTTTAATGCTGTAAGCGATGCATCTCGAGTTGCATCCGGCTTTAAGATCTACAATGTCGTCCTCGGCACTGTCCTCCGCCTTGGCAAACCTCAAGACCATCGAGCGAACATTGTCACCGGGCCACCTGTACTCCAAATGGCCCTCGTAGTCCACATCGGCTATCAAATCTCTCCCTGGATAGTATATTGAGCTTCCACTGTTGCATGATATTGCCTCGAATTCTTCTATGTTTATGTCACTGCCTTTAAGCGCATTCGATGTCTCTTGTAAGGTTGCACCAGTGAGAAGCACGAAACCCACCCTGTTCAAACCTGAGTCCCCTCGTGCAACCTTCATAATATTCTTGATTGTCACTGTAAAGATATTGGTGAACAAGCCGCCGCTGTCGTAAGGGTCTAGGGCTATCACAAATATTTTCTGTCTTCTACTTGGTAGACTGATGGAAGGAGAATTGCCATTTGGGTGAACTTTTCTTGTAAGAGCTTCAATGAGTTCCTTCTGTCGGGTTGCAAGATCAAGCTCTCCGTTTGCCTTGAGTTCGCCATCTATGGAAAACTTCAAAGATAGGTCCTCGACGTCTCTGAGTGACTCGCTCAATGGTTCTTCTGGGATTGGCATAATTTGGAAACGGGAAGTGGGATGGCGATTCCGGCAGTGATCAACTTGGGAGAGATAGTTATGGCAATGCTCCGTCCATGAGAAGCAATGTATATTCTTTAAGCCATTTTTCCGGCATTCTGCCCATAGGCTTTTGTCGGCCACGAGCTTCAGAAGAGCATCTGCTATGGCTTTCTGATCATGAGGGTCAATGAGGAGGCCGTTGTTCAGTGCCTGCAGACTTGTTCATTAGCTAATGAGGTGGTAATTGCTCATCAAGAATAAAATTTTAAACCCCTCCAAAAAATCTGATACTAGTGAAAATGTTTAGTACATAAGAAAATAACCGCATATGGCTATTTAAAATGTAGAGAGAATTAGTTGCAGCTGAACTCAAGCTGGAGTGCTCAACAGGATGATGTGGTTTGCATGCACAATATCCCTTTAGACAAATGTGCTACGACAACTTCTGGTGTGATCTAGAACAAAGTGGCTGTCAATGTGCTTCAGGTTGAGTATATCAGAAAGCTTAATTATTATTCTTTTTGATGATATCTAATACTTGACAGATTTGATTGAAAATTTACCTTCAGGGAACCAAGCAAAATTGCTGCTGAACTATTGTCAGGTGCAAAATAATTATCGAGAGCAATAAGCTTAATCCCAAAGCAGTACAAAATGATACATAGGGTTGTTCTTTCTACCTTCAAGATGTCTACAGGCCCTCCATTCCTGGTGGCTACGATAGGTAACCCATATGCAGCTGCCTGCAGTGTATAACAAGAACGGAAAAATGACTCGATTGATGTTTTCAGGCTGAAAGCATTACTTTATGCTGCGACAATGGATTTATTTTTCAGCTCACAGAGGGCAAAAAGTTGCTTGCTATTTATACCATGGAATATTCACAAACGGAAACTGATCGATGCATTTACCTCAATTAGTGTGAGACCAAATGGCTCCACGAGTGCCGGATTGATGAAAACTCCCTTGACCAAAACAATAAACAGATAACTTTAACTCAGTATTTTGCCGCCAATGAACATAATTTATTTGACTTTAAAGATGATAAAAGGAGAAAAAGAAAACATATGATGGAAGTATATGGCTGTGCCATTGCCATCAGTGTACACATGAGCTCATACTGTCCTGATTACTTGGTTTATCTTCTTTATTGTGCCATATGTTCCATTAACTAAGGTGTCATAAATTCAACCTTGATAATAACTTTAACAAGGTAAATATAGGTCGAGAGAGACGAATGAGATTCTTTCTAATTATGCACGACTGGATTTATTTGGATGACGACATCCTAGTGTCGGCTTAGTGAAAGAGTAACGTGCCTTTGTTTTAGCAGCCAGCCTATAAATTTTAGGAACATCACTTTGCTTGTGGTGCTTCGGGTACGCCACCTGACCATACAAATCATACTTGTCGATAAGCTTGAGTACAGTCGTGAGCACGACGGAGCTTCCTTCCGGCATCTCCTCAATGTCATCTCTGTTACCGAGAATTAATGTCTGCAATAAGAAATCAGATATAGCAGCAACTACTTTAGTTTAATGGCAAAGAGCAGTGGGTTTGTATGCAGCGAATCAGATGCAAGTTTTACCAGGTTGGCTAATTCTCGAAGGTGTTGGCACTCCCCGAAAGCCTTCAGCAAGGTCGTGACATTTTTCTTGGGGTCGGGTCGGGACAATGCCAGTATCATTGGCTTATGAGGATTCGTGAAAAATCTCGTCACCTGTTTGGCAAAAGTGAGTTAAACGAATACAAATGAAATAATTTAAAGGAGACAGATTTGTCATGCTCTTTATTTGTGAAAGAATTAGTTTAAGTCCTCTTTCCTTCATGTATGAAACTTGAAAGCACATCCATCATCTGGTGCTTGAGTAATATGGCACTAGGAAATAAAAGAGGATTCATAAGGACTACCTCGGACCATATGCGTGGTAAATGTCTCTTGTTAGGAGTTTTGTCTGAACCCATCAAGGATTTGAGGTCGCTCTCGCTTTCAGTTGAATCTTCTACTTTTACATTGCTGAAGTCCATTCCCGGAGGTATGACCTATACCGACATGATGATCAGTGTTTTACATTTAAGAGACTTGCAGATCGAAAAACTTGTCACAGCTTGTGGCACCCTAGGGGCAATTTCCATGTATCCAAGAAAGATATCACGTTGCCAAAGAAATTAAGAAGAAAAACAGCATCAGATCTTTCGAAGGTTAGATAGCCGTGACCAAGAAACGGAATGTTGAATTCTTACCACCATCCTCGGCATGTACCGTCCGTAGCAACTCACCCCACGCCGTCGCCTAACCCGAAGCTTCCTCTCCAACTTGAGATCAAATCCATCATACAAGCCCCATTGCTCTTCGATCTCTTGCCTCGTGCTCGTTACCACCATCTCGGCGGCATCCAAACCCAGCTCCTCCGCCTCGATCCTTCTCATAATTTTGTAGGTCGTGTTTATGTCCTCCCTAGAAAGCCTTCCTTGTTTGAGCAATTGCTCAAACTTGTTCCTACCAAGCGAGTGCCCCGTCATGACCATCGGCACGTTGAGGACACCAGACAGGAGTGCTGCCGCCTCCCCTGCATCGGCATAATGGCCATGTATCACGTAAGGCCAAACCGGCTTACCATCAATCTGTTCCCCAAGAGCTCTCGCCATGTTGACGATGTGGTTCAGTGCTCCATCGACAAATTCGGGTATATGAGGCCAAAGTGACTCCTTTGGAAGGTACCTGAATATGTTTCAATCAATGTTATAAACCTTCCATGGCTATAAACGTATGCTTATATGCCTAGATATGGCACAATAAACTGGATGATGGATAATGTGATTACTCGTTACAAGGCCCACAAGGGATGCGAATAATGTAGGCACCGCAGCCGCCACCGGCATCAGTGGGACAGGACAGCATTTCGATGGGCTCAGCATAGCTCGAGTCCACCTCATGCGACGTGATTTGCCGGGTCA